AAACGTGAAAAAAATAACTGTCGCGTTAACAGATTATGGCGCGTGAATACGCACCGAACCCCGCCGCCTCGGGGGTCAAGTCAGAAATTGATGACTTACCCCTCTACACCTACATATATTACCGTGGACTGCAGCAGCTGCTGCTCGTGCCGGGTCAAAAACAATGCAATTTAAACGGTCGTTAGGCGGTGGGGATAAACACACGTTATGCGTGTGTGTTTGTTGGGTGTGTGTGTTGTAATTAATCGGCAATAATTATATGTATAGGAGACGGACGCGGACTGGCCTCGGCGCAAAGAGATCGGCGAGGGGAGGTGGATATTTAGCCACTAATTATAGGCCGAAGTCCACCGCCGCCGCAGCATCGTTCTGGAATTAGACTGCAGCCGGAACAGTTTGTCGGGTCCCCTTGCACCGAGAGAACGGTAGGTGCGATGGGGTTCGGCGCAGGGGATCATCGCAGTTTCCGTAGATTTATCGAATATACCCTCCACCCCGACCGTCACCAGTTATCATATATATATATACCTACCTCCCCGGCGAAGCGTCTCACCCGCTCGCCGAACCCACTCATCGTGCCGCATGCCGCTCAAACTGCACATCCCTCGCGATTCGGTCGTTAAGCGACCACCCCGCGCACACACGTTTTCGAGATTACCGCCACTCCCCGGCGACCGGTCCATCCCCCTTCCACCCGCCCAACACCCAGCGCGCACACAAGCCCCCGAGTTGTGTATATGTTTATATATCCGACTGAGAGGTCGAAAAAAAGTTTCGCTTAATCGTCGGACGTTTATTTCGCGACTAATTGCCCACTCGCGTACAGTTATAAATACGCTCCGGAGGATGACTTCGACGCCGCCGCTTCCGCCGGCCGCATATAGCCCCCGGACCATCGGTGTAAAATCGTTGTTCGTCTTCGTTGTGTGCGGAAGTCTTTTCCTACCTGAACCCAAAATCTTAGCTTTTATCGTAAAAATAATACCATATTAATTATGATGCAATCAATTTACTCGCTGTCGATCGCGATACTGGCTCGGATCGATTCCATTCCCTTCAACATAATGATGAAGAGTGACACGATAAGTGTGGCAGTGTACAGCAAAATACGATAGTACTGATTTGTTTGTGTTTATTAAGAAATTGATAAATGTCCTGCATGGCTATAGGTATTGTGTATATAATAATATTGATCCTACAGCTCTATAATAGTATATAAATCATATAAGATAATAGTTTCAATGTTAGGTTGGGGTGATATATTATTTTTTAACTAACGAAGTTTTACGAGATCTGCTGAGTGTAAACGTTTCATAAATAATGCCCGCGTGTAGGGTCCTCTTAAATGGTTTTTCAGTGTAATGTCGTCGAATACACTCAACGCGCTGGTAAATGGTAAACATCGTGTTCGGGATACAGTCAGGTGGTTTTACATTCCACGCGGGTAGAAATTTATATTAAAACTGAAAGTACCTATTCGGAGTTCTTGCGTGCGTTATTTGCAATAATAACAGCGAATAATACATGCAATACGTTTTTTAAAATCAATACGAAATGAAAAGTTGTATATAAATAAGTAGGTAGGTATCAACTTTTATTTTTTTATAACATTACTTATCCCTAAGATTTCGTCAATAATCGTTTATAGACGAAAAAAATAAATAGTTTTACTGCATTGTATTATAGAAGGGGGCCGCGGATACGTAATTTTGGTAAGTTCACACAGCTTACATAATATCCATCTGCCTATATGTTATCATCTTTGCCCTTTAGTCATAAAAAATCACTTAGTCACAATCTTCGATCATAAACAGATACATAAAGCAGTTTGATCATGAGCGTTGACTGCGGAATCATCTTGTCTGTATTCATTTGAATCTATTCCAATGCAATAGTTGTAATTATTGAACTTCCATACAGACATATTCATAATATTACGAAGGATCTAAAGCTCAGTTTTGTTTGGTACGAATGTTGCTGCGTAATATAATATAATGTATTATTATACATGTTATGTACTTGGTTATTCAATTACCTCCCGTGTCTCGAGAGTCAAGAGGGTTGAAGTTTGGTCATAATAAGGGTACCTACCTTTGAAATAATTTGTTGAACACATTTCAAAAACAGTTGTAAACACAACATACCGTATGGAAATAAAATCTGAAAAGATATCCTTGACTTTCCCGGCCCGGCCTTAAAAAAAGTATTATTATGCCATACCAAATATTATTACTGTGTAACGCCAAAAAATTGTATCTAATTTGCCTATCTAAAGCGCCGTATGATCAGAATTTCACGAAAGCATCACAAAATATCATACTTACAAGAGAACTGGACGCGTGGAGCGTCTTATTATAATATAAAACCTATTCGCATCTAGTATTCATACTAACTTTCAATGACACTTGTCATAATGATTTATTATAAAATTGTAAAAAAAAACCAATGGTCAAATTTAATTTAAATCTAATAAAATTTGTTCATTCGTAGCCCGTAGTTATTTCGCTCATAATTATTGTTCGACCACGTGAGTGTTTTTGTCTGATGCTTAAAATGTTAACGAAATTAAGACAGAAATTATTATTAAAGACGTGTCCGGCGTAAATTTATTGATCGTATTTTTTCCCTCTTTCCGATTTTCCAATCGACAATAAAACTCTAGCTAACGACTTTGGCCAAGTTCTAAGAGCCCATATAACCATCCCCCTCGATATATATAATTACCTCGATAGGCCATTACCGTTAATGAAGTTTTTGGTTTGAATATTAAAACTCCACTGACGGTTTGAAAATATATAAATTGGAATGTTGTATAAGTTTTTAACGGCATCTGGAAACTTTTTTTTTCTCGCCGAGTTGATGGCATCGACGAGACTTGATCACATTAATAGGTTCACTTACAATTACGAAGCATAAGATTAAAGGATTGAAAAGTTTACGGATTGACGGATTTCGCAAATGCATTAAAATAATATAATGGGATATAGAGGTAGGTACGCGGAGAGTATATTTTAAAATATAGGAATTCAAACGTTTCGTATGACAATCACGTAGATGTATAATCTTTTGACGATAGGTATGCAACTATAATATTGCTGTGATTTTAATGCAATAATATTAAAAAAAAAAAAAATGAATAATAAAAAACTCTAGGGGGAAGTTAATAGTAGTGTTGGTGAAATTACTTTGTCTTGGCGGAGGTGGCTGATTTTTCTTACATTCCGTATTTGATCACTAAAAAGGTGGGCAAGTGGGTACCGTTCTGCTGTACATAAATACGAGTCGTGTGGCCCGGCGTGTTGGATGTGTTCAATTTTAAATCGAAGATATAAAATCATTGTGCACCTACGATTGTACGAAAAACAGACTATTCTTGGCGAACACAGTTTATCAGCCTATACAATATGGTACTAACTACTAGGAATACCGAATAATGTATAATTTATGATATTATTGCCATTAAAGTTATTTATTTCACTATTAGTCATACGTAACAGTTGGTTAGGTTGAATAATTTTTTGCCGAAAACGTTGCATTTGAAAAAGTCACAGTGTGTATAATACACAAATAATACGTAAAAACTTTCAAGTGCCCACAGATAATATTTTAAAATTACAATACAAAATACCTAAAATCGTTATTCTTCGTTCAAACATCTAATTTTATCCAAATTTGAAATTAGAACTTCTATAAAAAAATGTTTTTTTTATATATTTTTATATTTTTCGGTTACCTACTTACAGTATATATTATAAACTAAATGAAAAACCTTGTTTAAAATTTTCAATCCTTATAGTTATAAAAATTGAACATTAAATACATTTTTAACTTCAAAATAGTTTTCAAATTTTTGTGATTTTGAAGAATACAAGTACTACCTATGATTCGTTGTTCTGTTAGTAATAAGGTTTGTTGAATTAAATCCACACAGCAACTAAACTGTGTGCAAATCAGTTCGGTGCCACATGATTCAACCATCAGTGTTTTTCATAGGAAAATCTAGACTGGCTAAGAAATCTACCATAGTGCCCAACTATATGCCCTGCAGTACCTATTGACACAACTATGAGGGCATAAAAAAAATTAAGGGTATGAGGTTGCTAGTGTCCATATTCCATGTCGTTGTTATTTCAAATATCTTAAGTTTAAAGAATGTAATTTTATTTTTAAGAATTAATTTTTATTGTTTTGCATTCTGATTATATCATTTCGAAGTATGAGAACAGATAAAACATTTTCAGAATATTATTGTAAAAAATCGTACAATTTTGTGAAAAAATTATCGACCATCCAGGTTAGTTAGCTTCTATATTCATATAATCATATTCACACAACGACTGTGATTTTTAAAGCAAACTTCAAAAGTATAATTTTTAGAAGTGTCAAAACAAAAAAGAAATCAACCAAATATTTTAATAAATGTCCATTTAGAGACCACTGTCCTTGAAAAAATATTGAACACATTATAGCAAGTTATGTTTAATACTTTCAATTTTAATATAATAAAATACTATATTAAAAAATAAAATGTGTTTAATTTTTTTTCTCATAATGGTATTGCGAATAATAGTATAATTTAAATATTGAAAATATGTAATGTTTGTGGGTATAGAGGGCAGAGCCCTCCACAGCTATATTGTAAGTAATGTATAATTGTAGCAATTGTAGCACCCGTGAGATTTGAACTCTAGTTGCACCACTGATGCACTGCCTAACATTTGGTACCCACCCTTCCCGTGCACATGCATATGGCTATGTAGTTACTTGTTATTGTAGTATTTAGTAACTATTTAATAAATTACTTCTTTTGTACTCCAGTCTTTCAGATGCTGTATAAATGATGTCTACTGACTGTCAATAAGACAAAAACAAGTATTGATGTACCTATTGTATAATAATTTGTCTTCATCTATGTTGGAACTTACACAACTGAATTTTTTTTTTTTAATAAATTTAATTTAAAATGTACAGTTTATACAATTTGTTCGGATATTTTTTCCTTTGCATACAATTTAAAATGCCTTATAATAAATAGGATAAGGATTCATTTAAATGAAAAACTAAATGATTTCTTGGTAAATAATACAGTAAAAAAAATATGTAAAAAAAAATTGACCACAACAAATACAACAAAATTCATACAAAAACATAATCTAATATAAAATGTATTCAATAAACTTATTACTATATACATTATAATGTATAGTCAAATCACTCAAATGTATAAAACGTACAATGAATCATATTTTTAATACTTACATTAATACTACAACATTATCGACATTTTATAAATCGGGAAATCAGGACAAACAATTTATTATAACAAATAATTTTGGTTATAAATCAACAGTAAAACACCATTTTAGTAAGTACAGTGAAACACAATACATATTATGAATTTATTATTAGTAAAAATTAGACATGTGGTAGAAAATAAAGAAGAGAGATAAGAATATAGTATAAATATTAAAAGTAACAATTGTTTCTCAAGCAACATCAAAAAAATTTACAATGAAGAACAAACCTAAAATATTATCTCTAATTTATCTCAAAATGTAATCTAACAAACAAATATAAGCTAATCGACATAAAATAATGTAAATACAAATCAATTTTTTAATGTAAATCTTAACAATTTTTTATACCTATTACTTAGTATTTTTGTTTATCTACTTATTTCAACGTACAAACGTGAGTCATATTTCATAATTTTACAATAAGTGCAGACTGCAGAAAACACAAACAATAATAGTGTATAGAAAGACAAACCTATCATATTTAGAGCATATAAATCATCTGGGCTCTATTTACTAAAATTTAAAAATAAAAGATTCCTGTCACAACACAAAACTAAGTTATTGATATCAGATTGTAAAATAATTGTGTCTTGTTTAGTTTTTATAATTTTTATAGATTTGTGTCATCAGCAAAAATAAGGATATAAGAATTAGATATAACATTTAGGGGTTCTACAACAATTGAGCGAAAGAAAATGAGTGAATGAAAATAGTCACCCATGCTTATTTTACAAAAAAATATATGTAATATTGTACAAATATGACTTGATACATATAGATTAATCTAACTGCCACATTTTCAAATATTTCAAATTAATTCCTTAAATTATAATTTAGGTTTTTTATTTTTTCTCATGAATGATAATGAAAATACCTTAAAAATCATATTTCATTAATTATAATGACCTGATTAACAGGTAAATTAGGTGATTAACAGGTGTAAAAATATATGTTTCATAAAAGATATTAATTGAGTATGTATGTTATGTGACTATAGCACCAATCATAACTAACAATAGTTAGAGCAATTGAAAATTATTATTTGACCATTCAATAATTCAACAGTATCTAAAACTATTATCATACTTATTTCCCACTAATATTTTAGTTTTCTTAATTGTTCTAGTATAATATTTGGAAGCCTCGTCGACATTTTCAAAATTGGCATTTGTGATTTTTTCTTTTTTTTTCTTACCTGATGAATTTAGGATTTTTTTCTTCATAGATGAGTTGACACTTTTAATCTTTAAATGGCATGTTTCTATGATTTTGTATAATGTTTTGTAATAATATAACATATCATCAGAAGAGTTACCACTATCATTTGAAGCCAATCTGATTTCATTACAAATCAGCTCTGATAAATCAAATTTCTTCGAACCAAATAATGAAATGTGGTTCTGAAACAAATATAATTGTATATTACTTGTAACAGCATACAGAGTAAACCATATTATGAAACATAAATAATAATAAAAAAAAGGTTAATTTAAACAAAGAAAATCAGATTTAAAAAAAGTCTGAAACTTTAAATTTAATACTTGTATACATTTATTAGAAAACACTTACAACAATTATATCATTATTGACAACTTCTGGTTGTTCAATTAACTTATTAAATTGCTCAACGCTATATCTTAAGCGATTTGTAAATAATAATGTATACGAACATAACTGAGATAAAATTTTTGATTGATTCAATCCATTATATTTAGAAACCAAATCAATCAAGTAAGGAGCAGGATCTTCACCATTTTTTTGTTTTTTCACAATGAGTCTTAATTCTTCTTCTAGTTGTAATATTTCAGTTGCTTCGGCATTAATTTGTTTACACTAAAATTAAAGTATATATAAATACATATATTAACTAACTAAATATGATATAAATATGTTTTTTCTAAATATTATATATTACAATTTCTGCATTATAATATGCTTCAACTGCTTTTGCGATAGCTTTTAAAACAGTCACGTCATTTTGTGACATTTGAAATGCTTTTTTCAAATATTGTATTCCCAAATTAAAATCTCTAACCATAGTTGGAAGAGTCATCAATTTCTTAGCACATTTGATTACCAAATGAGGATCCTTTGGTTCCAGATTTACAATGGTTCTACAAAAAAAAAATACTCAATAAAATTTGTGTTTTAACAAATATTTATAAATTATCAAAGCTGGGCAAGTTAACAATTTTTTTGACTCATTAAGTTAATATAGACAAATTTAAGTGAAGTTTAAAGTTACTTTTCTTTTGTTTTTTACTCTTGTAAACAATAAAAGCAAGTTAACCGAGTTAAAAATTAGTTACTTTTTTCATATAAAATTAATAATTATACCTTTTCTTTAAAAAGGCAAACAAATAACAGTAATTTTATAGAGATCTTACAATTTTAAATAAATGTATGCATTCAAATTAATTGCTAAAGTACTTACTTTAATACTTTAATCAATGACGAAATCTAACAAAACAATTCAATTATTTTTTATAATTTTTTTCAACTTAATACTCCACAACTATACTAAATTTTAATAACTAATTCATTATAAGAATATAACTAATTACCTACATGACTACATGTGACATCAAATATTACCAAATGCAGTTGTTTTCTATGTACGAAGAAAAATATAATAATAAGCACGGTCTTCTAAGACCGTGACAATAACTAATAAGTAAAAACTATTAATTTATAATGATTAATGAAAGTAGGTACCTATACAAATGTGTATGGGATACTGAGTAAATAGTCACATTTTTCTTTTCTCAATGATGTGTGATTACCCCTATAACTTTCTTGTTTATGATATATTATATTCTGTGAAAATGCAATATTATAATCATTATTATAATCTATTATTTATTACTTATTATATTTACTTATAAGAAATTTCAGATTATTTTTTTTATAAAATTAATTTTTACAAAATTTAATATATTTTTATTATTATATTATACTATTTTTATTTTTATTTTAAATTTATGGTTTACAGAAAAAAGTTAAGAATGTGATAAAAAAAATTAATTAACTCAAGTAACTTCATACAATTTGATACATGTAACACGTTAAGTTCAAGTTACTTCTGAAAAAAAGTTAACTTGTAATGTAATTTAAGTAGATAAAAGTAACTTAATTTTAACTTTTTAACTCGTTAATATGCCCAGTCTTGCAAATTATGTCTAGATTAAAAATTGTATTTATGGAGACTTTTAAAAGCAAAGTAACAATATAAACTTTGATGTAGGTATGAATGAAAAATTAATATTGATTTAAATTTATTTTCATAGATAAAAGACTAATAATGTATGGTCACAGTTTTACATACTTGATCTTGTTTGCAATTTTTTGTTTTTCAGGAAAATTTTTTTTATTTATAGATATATCATCCATAAGCATCTCATGATAAATAAAAAGAGGATTTTTATCATTAGACAAATACACTGCTTGACTAATTGCATTTATTTCATCATCAGTTGGTTTTAATTTATGTGCCATCAAGCATTTTCTTTCAGCTGTCAATGCAAGTGAATGAATATAAAACCAATGAGAAGTTTTAGGATCCAAATCACATGCTAACTTAGCCATGTCACAAGCTTTTGACAAATAGACAATATTTTCGCCATATTCAGTTAATACAGCTGCGCGTACTGCGTGTACAGAAGCTCTTGACTTAGAATTCATTTTTGCAAATGACGAAATATCTTCCAATAACTAACAAATTAATGGTATTAATAGTTTAATAAATTTAATTGTATAATTGTATTAGACTATGTAAGACATTGAACATAGTGTGGATGGAGAATTAATTATTATCTTATTTCTAATTATATAATAACCTTTGTCAAATAGTAAATAACAGTATAAGATTCTTAGTGGATCGATGAATGTTTTGATTTTAAAATGATGTTTTTTTGCTGTCAATCATAAGTTATGATTCATAACTTTTCAGAGTAGTAAGAGTGTTAGATTTTCAACATATATTAATATCAATATATTTTCTAGCAAGATAGAAAATCTTGTTATTCATTTAAGAGGTTAAAGTAAAAAATTTACAAATCGATTTTCCTATTTCGTAGTAAAAAAAGACTATAAATACTTGTAAATTGTCAGCAAATTTTTATAAAAGCATATTTTTGTATTTTGGTTCCTTTTATAAATAGATTATTTGTGGACAATTGACATGTATAATATTAAATAAGCATTGACTTTTTGAAGGAATGACATATTAGTTTTATATTTTATTATTATTTGACTATGTATTTAACTTTAAAAAAAATCATATAAATTTAAATGATGTTTAAGTTGTTTTGAGACTATATTTAGACACATCTGTATGTCATACCCTCATAAGTAATATTCTCTATTGTTCTAATAACAAGTAATTTTACTCTAAGATAATAAGAAAATATAAAAAATGATTCTGCAATGAATTTTGTCTATGTGCCAGAGAGAAAAAAAATAGTGCGCTGACATCCTCTTAAAGACGGACGCACACCAATCCAGTGAAAAAAAAAACAGCCATGGCTCACTGCAATAACCCGGCCACCCATTTTGCACTGCTTCAGTGTGCGTCCGGCTTAAATTGCACTGATACACAATAAATAAATGAAATGTACTTTATATACAAAGACAACAATAAATAAATTCATAATAGCTTACCCATTTACATTCTTCTGTCAGATTTGTAGGGAATAACATATGAATGAGAGTAGCCCTCATGATATGTTGAAGACCAGTATTAATAGATAAATAAAACTCATCAGTACCTTGATCTAATTCTTCAAGCCATTTTCCTATTTCTAATATTTTTATTTGGGCTAATTCAGGTTCACCCTTATGAAAATATTCAAAGGAAACAATTAAATTACCTATAAACCTAAGAAAATAAATCAAAATTAATGATTTAAAAAAACAAATAATATTATATATAGTGGTGTATTTAAACCAGGACATGTATGTTTAAGATATCAGGATAGTACTTTCATCATGACATTAAAAAAATACAACTAAAAAATTATTATTATTTTCATCAAATGAAAGTTTTAAATGATTATTTTTAAGAAGGTATAAAATGTAATTATTCAAAACAAATTTACAATTACTATGATTTTTTTTAATTAGCTTCAAGCATCACCATTTAATAATTTAATTTCTGTTGTTAAGGAGACCTCCTAGGTAAAAGTCTTAAGGTTACCAAGTTTCACATTACCCCACTGATATATCTACAGGACCAAATAAAGGTTGTCATCTACACTCCATAGGTAGAAATCAGATTTCTATAGGTTTTCACACATTTCCCCAAAATATGAATTTATATTAAACTATGTATTTATGTTCTAAAAAAGTGAAGTTGTATAGGTATAACAAGTAAATACTTTATATTTGTTATACAAATTAATTAATTAACTATTTAATAATAATTTACATAAATTAAATAAATATTTACATTTTGATTTTTCATTGATAAAGAAGCTCATAAAACCTGTCTTAAATACTCAATAAATTATTCTCTGGGAGAAAACCATAGAATTTGTAGGGTGATGGTTTGGTTGGTAGTTTTATACAGATATATTTAAGTAAAGGTAAATAAGAAGAAAATACCTACCATTAAATAAACATTTTTTTAAGTTGGAAATAAATCAAAGGTCAATAAGGATATCAAGGTATAAATGTATAATACACATTGGGTTATCTGTTGAGGTATTAATATAAATGTAACAGTGAATTGAAAATGGATTCATCTCAACCTTAGGTTTAATAATAGCATTTTATTTTTTACATACCTTTCTAACGTAAATTCAGATGAAGATATATTTAAGTTGTATTCTCCATATTTATTCCATATCCATAAAATTAAATTTTTCTTTTTATTTGGTATTATGTTCCATGTGAATAAACATTGAAGATCATTTATTTGGTTTAAAATTCCTTCGGTGTTTGGATCCTTGACAAATGCAGATGTTTGTTTTTTTTTTCCAAAAGAGTTTAATTTACTTTTAATGTTTCCAACATTTTGAACACTGTCTTTTAAATTGTTTGGCAAATCATCAACATTAATCAGCGAAGACGGCAATGAGAATAAGGAATGAGATAAAATATCTTGCAACAATTCAATAGCGATCATGTTATTTTTTGACTCTGAAGAACTATCACCGTTAGTCACATTTTTGTTTATCTTATTGATTTCAGTAAGCAGTTCTCTTATAATTTGTCTAGTATTTTCACCTATTTCAAATTCAATTGCATGAGTAGCAACCTTAGCTTTTTTCTCGCATTTATTAAAAAGCGATTCAAACATTAATGCAAACATTGCAAACATTTGTATTGCCTAATAGAGTAAACCTGTTCAAAACGGAGAATTGTGTTAGTTCAATTGTAATAAATATCCATTCAATAATATTAAACATTTTGTTTTGATACTTACAACCAGAAAGTGACAATACCTTTAACAGTAGTGTAAAATTGAGTTTTCTTCTAATGCAACCAGAATTATCTAATGATCCTATCCGTAGACGTTCTACCTCGATTAATTTATGTTTATGTATAAGATACTATGGAAGTTTCAATTTGTATTTAATCAGTTGTTCTCTCGAAGGTAGTTAAAATATATTTATTTTGTAATATTTATACTACTAATTTTAATACCTAGGTTCTACTATTAGTTACTACTTTACGCCTTAAGGGTTACTGGGTTCTACCTTCTACCACAAACAATCAGAGTGACAGAGTCCTACATAGTACATACACTCGTGGACATAAGTAAACAAGGACAAGCAGTAAATAAAAAAATTCAATAACTATTAAGTCAACTATTCGACTCAGATCGATGAATTGGGATTTTTGATTGGTCGCTAGTTTGTACTCCAAAGATATTGGATAAATGATAAGGTTAACAATAACAGTCTACCTCCACCGTTAAACATAACACTCATAAACATGGTGGACCACGGGAATAGTAACATACTAACATATTGTCTCCGTCAAGTTAATGTTTAAAGAAACTGAGAAGATAAAATACATTATACAATTAATATTTTATGTATCTTTTACACTTGAATATATTCAGGCTCTCAAATTATATTAGAGAAAACATGCGCACTCTTTTGAAGGAGTATCAGCATTGATTATAAAACAAAATAAATCATAATCCTTCAATACCTACTACAGCCTGCACTTAAATTGGAAGCAACTGCAATAAGTGTTTCAAATATAAACACGACCTAGACATTATAGGGCAAGATATCTGCATATTATCATCTACTGAATGAAAGAATCCAATAAAGATGGATTTAGTTTTTTTTAAATATTACTTCGTGTCTTCATTATCAATAACATAAAAAGTAGGTTCGATAGGTACCTAATTTTTGATTCCACCAATTGTTGTTAATAATAACAAAAAAAGTTTTAAAAAATGATTTTTTCTACTTTTAAAAACTTGAAAACAATTTTGTGACCAAGTTTTTTGACCATAACTTGAAAATTTGGTATTTTTCTACTATACGAGACTACCTTGTTTTGTGAAACATCCCAATCCTGTTATCTAAGACTACAAAATATTGCTCACTTTCATATTCAATTTTATGTAGATTTAAGATTCTAAGCGTATCGAATAAATGTACTCGTGTTTGCATAACTATGTTTGCACAGATAATAAAAAGATGGATAGGCTATTGGAGTTCATCGTGCATTCCTATAGTACTATAAATTTGAGGTTATATGGGGTAAATATTAATCGCGCGCAAACCTACAGTATTTTAATTAACTTAAAACCTCTAAGGTAATTAATAATTATATTATATTGGGTTTAATTATTATGATTCTATTCTATTTTAAAATATTTATGTACATCGACGATTTTCATTTGAAGTTTGAACATAACCTTAAATAGTACCCCATGTAAAAGAGAGAATATTCTTAAAGATGTTTTCTCTCTCCCACAAAAAAGAACACAACCCTGCACAGTGCACAGTTTTAATACAGCGATGGCCTAACCATTATTATCACAGACTATATGAAGGTTTTCATATAGTCTGTGATATTATATCCATTATCAATGGTGCCGCGAACGTGGAGAACTGGCCATCACAGTTCTTCGATTTCCTAGCTAGATAGCGCTGCCATATACGATTTACAATGATGTGGATATGGGCAAAGCTCCATCACCATGGGGTTACTATTTAGGAAAACTTATTGAGGTTCAGCATCAACATTTTTAAGGAGATCCCCCCGAAAAAACTGTTTTGTGCTAATTGCGTTACTAAATAATGAATATGATAAATGGTCGGAAACTCGGAACAAAGATTTTTGAATTACCACTTAAGTTTGATATAAAAATGATCAAAATTATAGTAAAATTCTGGACAAATAGATGTTGTATCTCCTGTATGAGACGGATTTTATTTTTGGAAAGAATTTCCGGAGACTTTCCCAAAAATAATGAATTTTGTACTAAAATCTGGGTACTAGTTGATAGTTATAAGTTTATAACTTATAACTTATAACTTCAAATAGGTACTTTATTGTACTATATAACTTACAAGTATTTAAAATTTACTTGAGCAGAGTGGATTATATAGTGAATGATTTATGATGGTTCACTAGGCACTAAGTACCATCTACCAAGGTTAGGTTATCAGTCCTGGGGACATAATACGATATCGGTCCATTGTGTACTTGCATAGTAGCACAGTGGCCTAATTATTCACACCTGCAATAGGGTTAGCAGGGACATTTGATTAAAAAATCTGGAAAAGAGATAGGTACTTATTACTGTAAAAGAGGGATATATGATATAAGAATACCACCAAATGTGCAACCTAGAAATTCATCTTCAAACCCTTGGAACAAATTAACAACCAAGAAATCCAATAGAACACACAAGGACGACTATGTGAAATACTTAAGGATAAAAATTAACTTATAAAAACAACTAAACAAGGATAATAATAATTGGGTACAATAGCCTATTGACTGTCAATAGGATGAACAACTCAAAAACCTAAATATTGTACAGGGCCCTTATTAAACCACAGCTCAACTCTTCAGATGAAGTATTCGATCTCTACTGTTACGCTAGCGTACAGCATCAGTAATAAGACCGTTACTAATTTATGCTTTTCCCGCTCTTACCCATGCTGCACAGTGCACACCCAAACGAGAATTCCAACATTTCAAATTCCTGAGAATAGACTATACCTACCTCTAAAATAGCACATTAATAACCACTCAGTTTATCTTAAATAAACTATCTATCACCATCGAGTTTCGATTAAAAATGTACAGTGAGATAACTACGGGGGGGTAAGGGGTTCACCCCCCCCCCTCTAGAAAAATAGAAAATTTAAAAATGTCTAGTTTATTCTAAAATTTAAAAAAAAATATTTAAACCATTTTTTTTTTAACTGAATAAATAATAAATACTTTATATTATGATTGATTTATGTATGTATATATTTATAGTATAGTACTCAAGGTGGCAAGGTGTATGATAGCGTAAACGTATCTTCTCGTCGAATTACGGAGTCTTTCGTACACGTAGAACGGTCATAACTCATAGAAAGAGGGCACTTTTCGTGTGTGACTTGTGACTGCACAATATTAATATTATATATGTAATATGTAATATATATACAATAATATAATTATAATATATATTATACTGACATATTGTGAATTACTGCAATATGTTTGACCGGTTACTACAACAGCTACTCTATAGGCAAGGTCAGTCTATTAATAATACGATCTATGGTTTTCCCGGTTAAACTAATATCACTGATATAACAGTCACAATTTTGTATTATGTGTTACACACTTACACACTATACGTCTATACAGTGTAATATTTAATATTGTGTTGCCACTTGTGAGACGTTTTTACTTTTACTGTGAATTGTGATGTGTAACTGAATTTTCAATTTTAATACCTACATTTATTATTTGTAATTTATTTTGTTTTAAAATATGGATCGCTACTTAATTAAAAAAAAGACCAACGAAATGGTGAGTATTTTTTTTTTTTATATTAGGGTACTTAGTTTATGTAAATGCATGGAAATATTAATTAAACCTTGTATTTAATGTTTGTAAAGTATAAACAATACTCAAAATATTCATATAGTTTATAATATTCTAGAGTTCTGAACCAGTAAAATGTAAATACAGACATAAGTCAACCTATAAAAAAAAAGTAGTACTAGTTAGAAGAATACTGCTATATCCGAACAAAATGTAAGATTTCTATTTTATTTTACTTCATTTTATAATAATTAAAACTATTATTATAACTATTTTAGTAATTATATTACTATTATTTTAATAAGCTTATTAGTTTACTTTCTTAGCTTGCCAATGCATGTTGCCTAATATTTAAGCTTTTTTAAAGGTTATTGATCCTCAGAATAATGATATTGGGTTGTTTGTAAATGCTACTGGTAGTTTGACTGATGAACAAAAGCACCTAGTAAGTTATAAAAGTTTTTAATGAATAATGATAGTAATATTTTGTTATTTATTAATATATTAGTATATTACATAATGCATTATTAAGTATTAACTATTTTCTCAATTTAATAAATTAGTATCTTGTAATAATCTTTAATAGATTCTTGTAAAACCATGGATTCCTCCTTCTACATATGCATTTCCAATATTAGACCAAAATAAAAAAAGGAAACTTAAGTTTCAACATAAATGGTTTAATTGTTTGTCAAACAGGATCGTCTCAATGGTTTAGTGTTACTGAGTTATTATAAGAATGTTGTTATCACGCCAGATGAAGTATTAAATGAAATGGCGAAGAAGCCGAGAAAAATTGACTTAGTGTTATAATGAAAATATAATGTTTTATTCTCACTATTTTGATGTTTTACTCAATGTAATTTCCCATAGTAATATCCTCTATAAAATTTCTATCTATGGAACTGAACCCTCCCCATAGAAAATTCTTAGCTACGGCCGGGGTGAGAAGACCGTCGCCACTGAAGTTATTATTATAAAAAATAGATATGGGATATTCGAAATTATATATATAAATATTATTTAGTAAAGTAAGTCTTCAACATCATTGGTTATTAGCCTACAGGCTTCAGTAGTTGTACAACATACAGAAATAAAGAAAACGGGTTGAGAAAATTAAAATTAAATATTTACAGGTGTTTACAACTTATAACTTAAATTTACGGTGTGGAGGAACTTGTGCATTGCTTCTGTTTTTTCTTCGTTGAACGCTAGTCGGAGAGAATTAAATTACTCCTATTATAAACAACTCATTTATTAGTAGACGTTACTAATAAATAATAACTAATAAGTGATGATGAGTAACTGATTAGTGATTACAAATTACTGACATAATTTGGAAATTGTTCAAACGCTACCATGGAGGTCGACAGAATTGGAACAAAAACCCAGGAAATTATTTATTGATTTATGATAAAAATAACATATTTTTCTGTATTTAAGTACCAAAGTATATACATTTTTAATGTAAACTCCCCCCCATTAAAAACAGGTGTGTGTACAGTACTGATATAGTAGGTTAGGTTACTACAGTAGCGTGTATTTAGGGGGGCAAGGGGGGCAATTTCCCTGGGCAACAAATTTAATCAAATGAGTTTTTTTTTTAAACAGTTGTAAAAAAAAAAATAACAATAACAATTTTAGGCATTTGTTTTTGGATTTTTGTTCCAACATTATCGAGTTGTCAGTGTCAGAAGTAAGACAAAAAGCTGGAGAGTAACAAAAACAATATCCTCAAGATCTGGATGTATCGTTTATGAATGAATGTATTCATTTTCGTGGTTACTTAAAAGGCTCACCTACCAGAAAGGGTATCCACAAAATAAATCGGTGCTATATTTGAGTCAAGTCATGAAAGATGATAATTAGGGCTAGGATAGTATAGGATTTTGCATTTTTTTTTAGGATTTACAGGACATAGCTTTTCAAGCACAAAATGTGATTTGGTCATATACGAGTCCAAATTTATAGTTTTTATTTTGCTTTTTTTTGCATTTTATGTACTTTTAAGGATTTAGGGTCATTTTTTAGCATTTTTAGGTCATTTTTTCAATTTTACGGGCATTTATTATACTTTTTTGAAATCTAGGTAATATTTTTATACATTTTCATTTACACTAGATGTTCTCAATAAAAGTTTTGAATTTGTAACAGAAATAATATCATATTCAATATTTCAATTATAGAGATAGTATAGAGAATAATCTTCGATACCTCGAGTTATCTTAATCGTTAAATTAAATGACAGTGATGTGGAGAGTACAGTGTGTAGTAGTGTGTTAATACTCGTTATCGATAATAAAACCACTTATATATTACAACAATAAACTTCGATACTATAAAAGTTTTTCATGCTACAAAACATTGCTAGCAGATAATCGGCGGTCATTTGTATTTGAAAATTTGAAGGAGCTACCGATTGTCCAATGCAACAATACAATTTAAACGTAATTTTCAGAATAAAAAAAATATACGTATATATTTTTTATTTTATAGTATTTTTGTTGTTTTTTTTCAGAAAATTTTAAGCTGGCCGTTGCATGATAAGTCCAAACTTCAAACTTTATTATTCATATCAAGAAAATCCTAAATTAACATTTTTTTTGCTATTTTTTTATAATATTATAATTTAAATAATTTTTTACCGAAATATTAATTAATAATTATAATGCATTTTTATAACATTTTAAAATCATTTTTTATCTTTTGGGCATTTTTTAAGGTCATTTTTAGGTTATTTTAATGTCATTTTTTTAGGTTTTTTGGGTCATTAAAATCCTAGCCCTAATGATAATTAACTATTTTGTTTGCGCCGCCAGCACTTGCTTGGGCAGTTTGCTGAGCGTCTCGCAGAATGTGTGGAAATAATGAATGATAATATTGAAAAAAATGAAATATGGTATAAAAAAAATATATAGTAATCAATCGATTCATAAACCACAAACAATGCAACACAGTGCAACGCCAAAGACGTCTCTTCGAACGATTGCAAATAATAATAATAATAATAATACCAATGAAATTATATAGTATAAAGGGCACAACAAATGCGCAATATGCAAATTAATGCAAACACAAAAAAATAGAATAATAATAATATCAACGATACCGCTGGTGCCTGCCGCCTGGTCACACAACTACTGGTGGCGGAATCCCACGGCGAAGACGGATATCGATAAGAATAGTTTGCGCGATCCCGCGAATTCGCCAAATTAAATTGTAGATTGCTCGACGATGGTGAATCCGTTGACCTCGCGATAATACAATGTCACGAGCCACACGAGGACTCCGCGTTTGGGTATAATATATAATATGCGAAAGTGCGACCACGTGTAGTTACGCGCGACGGGTGATGTTGGGGAATCAAACCAGCACACAGTATCAAAAAAGGTTGTCGGTCGACACACGACCATAGACTTAAAGAAATAGACTGAACATTTAGGCCCGAGGACTGGGAGGCGTGGTCGTGTCAAACGGATTAAGAGAGATAGCACGAGTTTTATCATAAGAGTGAGAGAAATGTCCGCTGCTCCGAGGACAGCCAATTACATGGCTTTAATATTAATAGTGCCCGATCACGAGGACAATTGCACGCGTTATCATACCTAATGTTCCGTCTATTTCCATAAGTCTATGCACACGACGACAACGTGGTACAACAAAAGCGACCGACACCCGCGGTCACGGTATATACCGGACGGCGGTGGTACAAAGACAGACGAACTGACGAAAACGCCGGACCGCAGAAGAACCGGTGGCCAGTGACGCCGGTCGCCAAAAGTTCGCGCGAGCGCACTTCGGCGTCGGAAAGGCAGAGGGGTGACAAGACAGGTGTCACACGCGGGCATGTCGATACCGGTGGGGGGAGGAAAAGTAGGATTCCTCCCGGGCCCGAACGTTTTAAGGGGCCCGAAAAAGAGGGACCGTAATTAATTATTTAATTCGAAAAAATTTTTTTTTGCTTATCTACAAACTTTAGCTGATGGCATGTTAACCAAATGATAAAATAATATCAAATATGTGTATATATATTTAGTTTTCCCTAAAAAGTAATTGGTGTACAATTATTAATTGTTATCGTGGCATTCGCGTCCATAGACATATAATATCTCTTTATATGTCTATGTTCGCGTCAATACTCTATATATGCTGTATTTACGGTTTTACCCAGCAAACTGACAACTGTACACGAACTAACGAAGTTACAAGAATTTTATTGAGACATTACAATTTACGATAACATTATAACAACCAATATTAAGTATCGGATAGATAAGTGTATAATACACTGTATATCATATTATTATATCACAGAAATCATATGGTTGTTGATGCGTTTATGATGTTTTTGATAAATCGATATACAAATTAAACAATATACTATTAAGTTACATTGTAACATAGTATTTATGACCAGGTCTAGGATTCGTATGCAATTAAAAATTGAAAAATATGCATTTTATTTACCAAAATAGGTAGGTATGTACAGTGATTTTTTCCCCGTTATTATTTTTTCGTACAGAAATTCTTGTCCAACAATTTCAACTAGCTACTTTTTTAATTCGATAAGTTTGTTGACATATCTAAGTTATTCAATTTTTGCACTTATTTAAAATACAGCTTTTTCCGTATAATTGTTTCAATTTTCGTTACGTTCTTTTTTTGTTTTTTTTTGAAATTACTCTTAGAAAAATATTTTTAATATTTTAAATTTTTTATTCATTACTTGAAATTACCTATTATTTTAATATTTTTTTTTAAAGAGCATGTAGAACGGGAAGAAAAATTTTTAAAATCTCAAATTTTGTAAAATTATTTAAAAAGCAATTTAATTAAAACCCCTGGTAATATTGTTTACAAATTTGTGTTTTGACTGTGTTATTTAAAATAGAAAAGGTATAAATATATGAAATTTATTTGGTCTTGGTAGGGTGATTGTAGCTCCTGGAACCACCACTAATAGGGGCCCTTAAGCATTTTCCCCTGGCCTGAACTTTTCTCTCTACGGCCCTGGTCACACGGACACACTGCTTGTCGCAGGCGCGAAAACGACTCCGGTTCAAACAATTTATTTATGCCACCCATACGTTAATATTGCATTGCCATTGATAATGTTTTTGTGTGTTCCTGCATCCAGTACTTCGGTCGAGCTTTCATTCAGTACTCTTAAAAGAGTTAAGTCATATCTTAGGTCTCCGATGAATGATAAACGTTTTAACTCTTTGGCGATTCTGAATATTGAATCTCAATTGACAACTTCATTAAACTATGATGAAATCATTGAAGTTTTTGCAAGATCAAAAGAGCGACGAAATATATTAATTTAATGATGTTTGTTGACTTGTTGACATTTTGTTTACTACTTTGTAAATAGATATAAAAATAAAATAAAACATTTTACAATTTGCTTTGATTATTTTGTTATCATGGGTGCTACCATTGATTATAGAATAGACAGATGGCCCATACAATGTTAGTATTTGGCGACTATACGTAGGATGCAGCCACTATGGAGCGCTAGTGTAGTCGGGATGCAAGGTGGTGGTACCCCCATCATAGATTTTTGGCATAGATATACGGGGTGAAGGGAGGTAGCTTATCGCGCGGTGCCTATCTAAAAATAGAATAATAATAAGAAATTGAAATGCTTGAAATAATTTTATTATCACTACTATCTTGTTAATCGTTCGCCGTACATTAGCCCGCAACTCGCATTTAAGGATCTGTAGTGTGTACTGTGTAAACAACAAATCTATCCACTTGTCACATTCATCACAACGCCATCTATAGGCATCCTGTCGAAATATTATTTTAGTCGCCGAATGCTCCTATGCCGTGGGCTATCTGTCTATTCTATAATCAATGGTGCTACTGAGAAAACCTACGATATTCAACATTCTAATACACTCGATAGATTTTTATACTACATATCACATGTATTTGTTAGTATTTTTTATGGATAAGAAATATTGGTAAGAGTTATTATAAAAAAAACCGGTGAAGAAAAGAGTATTAAAAAAATGTGTACCAAGGCAGCGTTTCTTAAACTGTGTTCCGTGAAACCCCAAGGTCCCGAAGAGGTTACTTCAGGGCTCCGCAAAACTTGTACTTTTTTAAAATTTAAACACATTATTATAACTTTTATTGCAAATAATCTTTACATAAAAAATATTGAAACAAAGTAGTGGTTCTAATTATCGAGCTGTAATAACTTATTGTTGAAAGCTAAATAAAAAAAGCTAAAAAAAAAACTATTGGGGTTCCATTACAAAAGTGCACATAAAAAAGGTTCCAAGGATAAAAAAGTTTAAGAAAATGCTGATCTAAGATATTACTTCACCTAATCAACGACTAAAATAATAATTTTTCCAGAAACGAGTTTTTATATTCTGTTGTAAGTTATTTAAAAATATATTAATCGTAGATATTTTTAAACATTTCATTATTCTATTTTTACTTAAATCATAATTTTTTATATACAGTTATAACCTACTTATTTGTACAAAGAATTTTCTTCTGAATTATAGAAAATAAATATATTTTATGAAAAGTATACTTCGTCAAACCAGTAATTAGTAGGTATTAAAAATTTGTATTTACATATTTAAGTGTATATTTTTGAGATTTCATGTTTATTGTAAGATCTGCAACTTATAAGGAATCTTGAATTACATTTACTACAGTAAAATATTTTGCAATTTTTAGTGATTTTGATAAATTTGAATAATTATTTATAGAAATATTATAGAAAATATATTTATAGAAATAAATAAAAACTAAAATAATTAAAAAAACTTCTAATGCCTGCAATAGCTTAAAATTAGTTTTAATTATTTTAATATGTCTGTTAGGGCCGGATACGTAACGTACGCGGCCTGAGGCACCGACTTAATTTTGCGCCCCACTAACATCTAAGTCCTAAAAATATGAAGGACTAACTATTATAATGGTGTAATAGCTCAAACAATAATGGTCGAAATCAGTGGCGTAACTAAAACTTCGATAGCCCGTGGCAAAAAAATCCGGCGGGCCCTTGGGCCTTGGTCTTACAAATTTGTAATATGAAGAGAGCATGCACCACTCACACAATTTATATCTAGACTCGCCCCTGTTATAAAAGGTAATAAATAATTAAAAACATATTTATTATACTATTATGAATAATATGGTCATTTTTTATTACACATTATAATATGTATCTCATTTTTTTGAATAATATAAATAACCAAATATTTTAGGCAGTTTTGATACTGTCGTATACGCCGATAACAAGCATACACTAATAAATAGACAATTATTAAATTAAGCACTTTTATTAAAATATTTACGTAATATGGTAGTCGAGTCACACGACCACCACCTGGCTCTAACACTGGTGGTCAGTGGTAGTCGAGTCACACGACCACCGCCAACTGCCTCTTCCTGTTTTAACAACTAACTTATATACACATCTTAAATTTTGATGAATAATGTAAAAATTATTGAATAATTTGTTTACAAAATAAATGTCTTCTTAACCTAGTTTTTACATACTAACATTTCTTTTTACTGCATCTTGCATAATTTATATTATTGTTATCCTAGCCTACTTGTATGCTTTTTTTGTTGTTTAATTTTATTTGTTATGATATTTCTTATTACCTATAATTGTTTACTAAACCTAATTTTTAAGTACTAACAATTAAAAGCTTATTACAATTTACAACAATACTTTTTCTTGTTCTTCCATTTTTTTTACGCTTTTCATAGCCACTTGGTCCTTTTTTCGACATGATCACAATATTAATTATTTGGTTCAACGAGTGACGACTCACGACTGACGAATGACGACAGTATAAGAGTATAACTAATAACAAAATAATATCGAAAAACGACGGCTATTTCAATTTTCAGCCGGGCAGTATAATAGACTATATAGTGTAAATGATAATTGATAACGAGTCGAGAAATCGACAAACTTCTGAGACTTCAATACGGTATCCTAGACGGCTAGACTTAAGGTTATACCATTGGACATTGATAATAGAATAAAGAATAGTTTATTCTATAATCAATGGTAATACTCTAAATATAGAGTGCGTTTTCTTGTTATTTCTGTTTCAGAATAATTATTATATTTATATATCTAAACTAATATAGTAATATCGCAGTCGCCTCGAGTATGCGGGAAAACGCTGCACATAAAAATGTAATCTATAATCGACCTATAATCGTGTTGAGTGTATCAGTCATTTTTCTAGTTATTACATTTATTTAGGTCCGTTACATTAGCACCACCATTATTTGAAAATCCGAAATAAAATTATGCCAACGATTGTTATTCCATTTGTACACGTTTGTAATCCTAATATAAACATTTATAAACCAACCCAAATGCCCCAAAAAATCAAATTTCCGCGGTGGTGCTAATGTAACGTTACACCAGCACCACACTTTTTGTACAGTCAAGTTATCAGCCCCGAAATGGTACCAACGATTGTTATTACATTTGTACACATTTGTAATCCTAATATAAACATTTGTACACTAACACAAATGCCCCAAAAATCAAATTTCCGCGGTGGTGCTAATGTAACGTTACACCAGCACCACACTTTTTGTACAGTCAAGTTATCAGCCCCGAAATAGTACCAACGATTGTTATTCCATTTGTACACATTTGTAATCCTAATATAAACATTTATAAACCAACCCAAATGCCCCAAAAAATCAAATTTCCGCGGTGGTGCTAATGTAACGTT